TTCGCTCTTTCAAAGGAAGTTTAAATATAATCCGAGCCGGCATTGGAGAGGACTGAAAAATTGGGCCGCAGAAAACGCGTTAGAAGCCCTTTTCGCCCATCCAAAAGTGCCCCCAAAGGAAGGCTTTGGGTGCAGCTGAACTCCCCAGGGGAGCCGTTTTGCAGTCCCACATGCAACTGGACCCTCATTGTTCGTTCTTTCACAGAAAGCCTAACATAGCCCTAGCCGGCATGGGAGACGAGTGAAAAATCGTGCCCCAGAAAACGTGTTACAAGACCCATACGCCCATCCAAAAAGTGCTCCCAGAGGAAGGCTTTGGGTACAAGTGAATTCTGCAGGGGAGCCTTTAAGCAGCCCCACATGCAACTGAACCCTCCTTATTCGCTCTTTCACAGGAAGGCTAAATATAACCCTTGCCGGCTTCGGAGACGACTGAAAATTCTGGCCCAGGAAAATCTGATCCGAGCCCTTTTCACCCATGCAAAAGAGCCCCCAGAGGAAGGCTTTGGTTACAAGTGAACTCCACAGGGGAGCCTTTACGCAGCCCCACATGTATCTCGACCCTCCGTATTCGCTCTTTCACAGCAACCCTAAATATATCCCTGGCCCGCATGGCAGACGACTGAAAACTCGGGCCCGAGAAAAACCTTACAAGCCCCTTTCGCCAATTCAAAGTGCCCCCAAAGGAAGGCTTTGGGTACAAGTGAACTCCCCAGGGGAGCCTTTTTGCAGCCCCACATGCAAGTTGACCCTCCTTATTCACTCTTTCACAGCAAGCCTAAACATATCCCTAGCAAGAATCAGAGACGACTGAAAAATCGGGGCCCCGAACACACATTACAAGACCCTTTCACCCATCCAAAAGTGTCGACAAAGGACGGCTTTGGGTACAACTGAACTCCCCAGAGGAGACTTTGTGCAATGCCACATGCAACTGGAACCTCCTTATTCGCTCTTTCACAGCAAGCCTAAATATATCCCTAGCCTGCATGGGAGACGACTGAAAAATCGGGCCAAAGAAAACGTGTTACAAGCCCCTTTCGCCCATGCAAAGTGCTCCCAGAGGAAGGCTTTGGGTACAAGTGAACTCCACAGGGGAGCCTTTACACAGCCCCACATGCATCTGGACCATACTTATTCGCTCTTTCACAGCAACACTAAATACAGCTTTGGCCGGCATGGGAGACGACTGAAAACTCGGGTCCCAGAAAACGCGTTACAAGTCCTTTTCGCCCATGCAAAAGTGCTCCCAGAGGAAGGCTTTGGGTACAACTGAACTCCCCAGGGGAGCCTTTACGCAGCCCCACATGCATCTGGACCATACTTACTCGCTCTTTCACAGCAACACTAAATACATCTTTGGCCGTCATCGGAGACGACTGAAAACTAATGCTCTAGAAAACGCATTACAAGCCCCTTTCGCCCATCCAAAGTTTCCCCCAAAGGAAGGCATTGGGTACAAGTGAACTCCCCAGGGGAGCCTTTATGCAGTCCCACATGCAACTGGACCCTCTGGGTTCGCTCTTTCACAGCAAGCCTAAACATATCCCTAGCAAGCATAAGAGACGACTGAAAAATCGGGCCCCAGAAAACACATTACAAGACCATTCCGCCCATCTAAAAGTGCCCTCAAAGGAAGGCTTTGGGTACAGCTGAACTCCCCAGGGGAGCGTTTCCGCAGCCCCACATGCAACTGGACCCTCCGTATTCGCTCTTTCACAGCAAACCTAAATATTGCCCTGGCCGCGTGGCTGAAGACTGAAAACTCGGGTCCCAGAAAACGCGTTACAAGCCCCTTTCGACCATCCAAAAGTGCCGCCAAAGGACGGCTTTGGGTACAACTGAACTCCCCAGGGGAGACTTTTATCAATCCCACATGCAACTGGACCCTCATTGTTCGTTCTTTCACAGCAAGCCTCAATATATCCCTAGCTGGCATCGGAGACGACTGAAAAATCGGGCCAAAGAAAACGTGTTTCAAGACCCATACGCCCATCCAAAAGTGCCCCCAAAGGAAGGCTTTGGGTACAGCTGAGCTCCCCAGGGCAGCCTTTACGCAGCCCCACATGCAACTGGACTCTCCGTATTCGATCTTTCACAGCAACCCTAAATATAACACTGGCCCGCATGGCAGACGACTGAAAACACATGCCCCAGAAAATGCGTTACACGCCCCTTTTGCCCATCCAAAAGCTCCCCCAAAGGAAGACTTTGGGTACAAGTGAACTCCCCAGGGGAGCCTTTACGCAGCCCCACATGCAGCTGGACCGTCCGTATTTGCTCTTTCCCAACAACACTAAATATAGCCCTGGTCGGCATGGGAAACGACTGAAAAACTGGGCCCCAGAGAACGCGTTACAATTCCCTTTCACCCATCTAACAGCGTTCCCATAGGAAGGCTTTGGGTACAATTGAACTCCCCAGGGGAGCCTTTACACAGCCCCACATGCATCTGGACCATACTTATTCGCTCTTTCACAGCAACACTAAATATATCTTTGGCCGGCATCGGAGACGACTGAAAACTCATGCCCCAGAAAATGCGTTCCGAGCCACTTTCGCCAATCCAAATGTTCCCCCAAAGAAAGGCTTTGGGTACAAGTGAATTCCCCAGGGGAGCCTTTACGCAGCCCCAAATGCAGCTGGACCCTCTGTGTTCGCTCTTTCAGAGCAACCCTAAACATAGCCCTAGCCGGCATGGGAGACGAGTGAAAAATCGGCCCCAGAAAAAGCGTTACAAGTCCCTTTCGCCCATCCAAAAGTGCCCCCAGAGGAAGGTTTTGGGTACATCTGAACTCCCCAGGGGAGCCTTTACGCAGCCCCAAATGCAGCTGGACCCTCCGTATTCGCTCTTTCACAGAATCCCTAAATATAACCCTGGCCCGCATGGCAGATGACTAAAAAGTCATGCCTCAGAAAACGCGTTTTGAGCCCCTTTCACCCATCCAAAAGTGCCCACAAAGGAAGGCTTTGGGTACAACTGAACTCCCCAGGGGAGACTTTTTGCAGTCCCACATGCAACTGGACCCTCATTGTTCGTTCTTGCACAGAAAGCCTAAAATAGCTCTAGTCGGAATCGGAGACGACTGAAAAATCGGGCCAAAGAAAACGCTTTACAAGACACATTCGCCCATCCAAAAGTGCCCCCAAAGGAAGGCTTTGGGTACAAGTGAACTCCCCAGGGGAGCCTTTACGCAGACCCACATGCAACTGGACTCTCCATATTCGCTCTTTCACAGAAACCCTAAATATATCCCTGGCTAGCATGGCAGACGACTGAAAACTCGGGCCTCAGAAAAGGAGTTTCGAGCCCCTTTCACCCATCCAAAAGTGCCCCCACAGGAAGGCTTTGTGTACAAGTGAACTCCCTAGGGGAGCCTTTACACAGCCCATATGCATCTGGACCATACTTACTCGCTCTTTCACAGCAACACTAAATACATCTTTGGCCGGCATCGGAGACGACTGAAAACTCGGGCCTCAGAAAATGCGTTACAAGCCCCTTTCGCCCATCCAAACGTGCCCCCAAAGAAAGGCTTTGGGTACAAGTGAACTCCCCAGGGGAGCCTTTACGCAGACCCACATGCAACTGGACCATACTTACTCGCTCTTTCACAGCAACACTAAATACATCTTTGGCCGGCATCGGAGACGACTGAAAAATCGGGCCTCAGAAAATGCGTTACAAGCCCCTTTCGCCCATCCAAACGTGCCCCCAAAGAAAGGCTTTGGGTAAAAGTGAACTCCCCAGGGGAGCCTTTAGGCAGCCCCACATGCAACTGGACCATACTTACTCGGTCTTTCACAGCAACTCTAAATATATCTTTGGCCGTCTTCGGAGACGACTGAAAATTCATGCCCTAGAAAACGCATTACAAGCCCCTTTCGCCCATCCAAAGTTTCCCCCAAAGGAAGGCTTTGGGTACAGCTGAACTCCCCAGGGCAGCCTTTACGCAGCCCCACATGCAACTGGACCCTTCGTGTTCGCTGTTTCCGAGCAAGTCTAAATATAGCCCTAGCCGGCATCGGAGGCGACTGAAAACTTGGGACCCAGAAAACGCCTTACAAGCCCCTTTCACCCATCCAAAAGTGCCCCCAAAGGAAGGCTTTGCGTACAAGTGAACTCCCCAGGGGAGCCTTTTTGCAGTCCCACATGCAACTGGACCCTCATTGTTCGTTCTTTCACAGCAAGCCTAAATATCATAGAATCATAGAATCATAGAATATCCTGAGTTGGAAGGGACCCTTAAGGATCATCAAGTCCATCTCTTGACACCGCACAGGTCTACCCAAGTTCAGACCATGTGACTAAGTGCACAGTCCAATCTCTTCTTAAATTCAGTCAGGCTCGGTGCAGTGACCACTTCCCTGGGGAGCCTGTTCCAGTGTGCAACCACTCTCTCTGTGAAGAACCCCCTCCTGATGTCAAGCCTAAACTTCCCCTGCCTCAGCTTAACCCCGTTCCCGCGGGTCCTGTCGCTGGTGTTAATGGAGAAAAGGTCTCCTGCCTCTCGACACCCCCTTACGAGGAAGTTGTAGACTGCGATGAGGTCTCACCTCAGCCTCCTCTTCTCCAGGCTGAACAGGCCCAGTGCCCTCAGCCGTTCCTCGTACGTCTTCCCCTCCAGGCCTTTCACCATCTTCGTAGCCCTCCTCTGGACACTCTCCAACAGTTTCATGTCCTTTTTATACTGTGGTGCCCAGAACTGCACACAGTACTCGAGGTGAGGCCGCACCAGCGCAGAGTAGAGCGGGACAATCACCTCCCTCGACCTACTAGCGATGCCGTGCTTGATGCACCCCAGGATACGGTTAGCCCTCCTGGCTGCCAGGGCACACTGCCGGCTCATATTCAACTTGCTGTCTACCACGACCCCCAGATCCCTCTCTTCTAGGCTGCTCTCCAGCGTCTCATCGCCCAGTCTGTACGTGCAGCCAGAGTTTCCCCGTCCCAGGTGGAGGACCCGGCACTTGCTCTTTTTTTTTTTTTTTTTTTAAAAAAAATTAGCCAATTTTATTCAAATAATTTTTAAGAACACACGATTAGCTTTTCTCAAAAAGGTTACATTTCATATTTATCATATGCTTTTTAATCAAATGACAACTGATTCCTCCCCCTCTGCAGAATTCTCAGTAGAAGCCAGAGTCTTGAGTAGCCCAGTTAGGTGCCTCAGATCTACCACTCTGATTCAGTTTCTTCTCAATGTTCATAGCCAACATTTGACTACGAAAAGACAGGCTTTTGTTTTTTTCAATCACCTGTTGATAGGGTGACACTGCGTTGTTGCCCATAACTACATGGCCCAGCTTTGAATCCAACTTGGCATCTAATCGTGCATTTCGGATTAGATTGACAATCCATCTTTCTGCTTCCTCAGGAGTCATGTTTAGTTTATCTGCTAACATACCAATGCTGATACATTGATGGATGCGACAGAAAGTCTCAAATATAAAGAGACGGGCATTCTCAATGAAGTCTTCAAGGCATGCCACTAAGAAAAAATCATTCACAAGCACTGTTTCATACTCTCTCAGCTTCTTCTGTGCACCATCAAAATCAAAATTAACATACAGGCATTCCACAAATTCTGTAATGGGGTCCCTGTACGTGTAGGACTCCTGTTGAATAACCTTGACTAGATCTTTCAGCACTTGTCCACGTTTTCGAACATCCTTATTTGTTATGACTGCAGTAGTGAGGTATCGGAGGAGACGTGGGCACATTGTCTGAATTGCATTGAGATACTGTGGTTGACAGAGAAAGAGATCAATGATATTGTCTCTCCCATTAGGATGATTAAAAAACACAAACAGAGACCAGAGGAGGAGCCATGTACTTCGTTGAAGCGACTGCAGCGGAGAGCTTACTGAATTATTATCTATTGTCTCCTTCAGTCTTGTGAGATCTTCCATGGCTGCATCCCAATTCTGCATCAGAATTTCAGATGCAAGTTTCCCCCACAGAGAACTCAGAGCATTTCTGTCTGTAGCTGGAACCAGAACCCTAAAGAAGTAAAGATATTCTGCAGCTCCAGAGTAATTGCCACATTCATACTGGAATTTTGCATACCTGTAGAGTGTATCCTGTTCGTTCTTTGTTCGTTCTTTCACAGCAAGCCTAAATATATCCCTAGCCGGCATGGGAGACGACTGAAAAATCGGGCCAAAGAAAACGCGTTAAAAGTCCCTTTCGCCCATCCAAAAGTGCCCCGAAAGGAAGGCTTTGGGTACAACTGAACTCCCCAGGGGAGCCTTTACGCAGCCCCACATGCAACTGGACCCTCCGTGTTCGCTGTTTCCGAAAAACCCTAAATATAACCCTAGCCAGCATGGGAGACGACTGAAAAGTCGGGCCCCAGAAAACGCTTTACATGCCCCTTTCGCCTATCCAAAAGTGCCCCCAAAGGAAGTCTTTGGGTACAACTGAACTCCCCAGGGGAGCCTTTTTGCGGCCCCACATGCAACCGGACCCTCCGTATTCGCTGTTTCCGAGCAACCCTAAACATATCCTTAGCCGGACACAGACGACTGAAAAATCGGGCCCCATAAAACATGTTACAAGTCCCTTTGGACCATCCAAAAGTACCCCCAAAGGAAGGCTTTGGGTACAAGTGAACTCCACAGGGGAGTTTTTACGCAGCCCAACATGTATCTGGACCCTCCGTGTTCGCTCTTTCCGAGCAAATATAAACATAGCCCTAGCCGGCATGGGAGACGAGTGAAAAATCGGGCCAAAGAAAACGAGTTACAAGTCCCTTTTGCCCATTCAAAGTGCCCCCAGAGGAAGGCTTTGGTTACAAGTGAACTCCCCAGGGGAGCCGTTTTGCAGTCCCACATGCAACTGGACCCTCCGTATTTGCTCTTTCACAAAATCCCTAAATATAACCCTGGCCCGCATGGCAGACGACTAAAAAGTCATGCCTCAGAAAACGCGTTTTGAGCCCCTTTCGCCCATCCAAAAGTGCCCCCATGTAGTGGGTTTACGTGGCAAGGCTTTGGTAGCAGGGGGCCATAGGGGTGGTTTCTGTGAGAAAGATCTAGAAGCCGCCCCATGTTTGGGAAGGGCCCCATTGTTTTCCAAATCTGAGCCAATAAGCGATGTTGTTTTGCACCTCTGTGAGAGCATATTTAAGACAGGGAAAAAACTGCTGCGCCACACAGCAGCCGGGAGAGTCAAGGGAGTGAGAAACAGCCTTGCAGGTGCCAAGGTCAGTGTAGAAGGAGGGGGAGAGGTGCTCCAGGCGCCGGAGCAGAAGTCCCCTGTGGCCTGTGGTGAGGACCATGGTGAAGCAGGATGTCCCCCTGCAGCCCATGGAGTACCACGGTGGAGCAGGGTTCCACGCTGCAGCCCGTGGAGGAGACCACGGTGGAGCAGGTGGCCCTGCACCGACGGAGGCTGCCGCCTGTGGAAGACCCCTGCCGGAGCAGATTCCGGGCCGGACCTGTAGCCCGTGGAGAGGAGACCACGCAGGAGCAGGTGATCTGGCAGGAGCTGCTGCCCGTGGGGGAGCCAGGTTGGAGCAGTTTTCTCCTGAGGGATGGACCCCGTGGTACGGACCCATATCTGGAGCAGTTCTGGAAGAGCTGCTGCCTGTGGGAAGCCCACGCCAGATCAGTTCATCAAGGACTGCATCCCGTGGGTGGGACCCCACAGCACATGGGACGAGAGTGACCGAGAAGGAGCGGCAGAGAAGAAGTGCTGTAGACTGACCATAACCCCCATTCCCCCGTTCCCCTGCGCCGCTCGGGGGGAGGAGGTGGAAGAGGGTGGATGGGGGGGAGGTGCTTTTGGTTTCTTTCCTTTGTTTCTCACTTCTCTAGCTTGTTAGTAATGAGCAATAAATTTTACTATCTGTCTTCTTATGCTGAGTCTGGTTTGCCCGTTACACTAATTATTGCGTGATTTTCTCGTCCTTATCTCAATCCTTGAGCCCCTTTCACATATTTTCTCCCCATTCCTCTTTGAGGAGGGGGAGTGAGAGAGCGGCTGTGGTGGAGCTCGGCTGCCCACTCGAGCGGAACCACGACAGTCCTTTTTGGCGCCCAACGTGGGGCTCGAGGAATTTGAGATAAGGATGATAGTTGGTAGAAGTAACGGGCAAAATATGCGCAGGATGATTGTTAAGAATGTACAAGTTGTGAAGAATTTAAGAAAGCAGTAACTGTGAGATGTTAGTGTGGTGAAGGGACGAGGGGTGGTGTGTGTGTAAAATGTCCACCTTGTCGGTGCTGTGATGATGTTATGTTTATTTTGGTGTGGTGAATTTTGTTTTCTTTTTGATTTAAGTGAAGGTTGTTGTGATAATTGTAAAGTAAGAGTATATTGTGAGTAATCTTAAATATGCTTTTCACAGAGGCGAGGGGTGGAATGTAGTGGGTTTACGTGGCAAGGCTTTGGTAGCAGGGGGCCATAGGGGTGGTTTCTGTGAGAAAGATCTAGAAGCCGCCCCATGTTTGGGAAGGGCCCCATTGTTTTCCAAATCTGAGCCAATAAGCGATGTTGTTTTGCACCTCTGTGAGAGCATATTTAAGACAGGGAAAAAACTGCTGCGCCACACAGCAGCCGGGAGAGTCAAGGGAGTGAGAAACAGCCTTGCAGGTGCCAAGGTCAGTGTAGAAGGAGGGGGAGAGGTGCTCCAGGCGCCGGAGCAGAAGTCCCCTGTGGCCTGTGGTGAGGACCATGGTGAAGCAGGATGTCCCCCTGCAGCCCATGGAGTACCACGGTGGAGCAGGGTTCCACGCTGCAGCCCGTGGAGGAGACCACGGTGGAGCAGGTGGCCCTGCACCGACGGAGGCTGCCGCCTGTGGAAGACCCCTGCCGGAGCAGATTCCGGGCCGGACCTGTAGCCCGTGGAGAGGAGACCACGCAGGAGCAGGTGATCTGGCAGGAGCTGCTGCCCGTGGGGGAGCCAGGTTGGAGCAGTTTTCTCCTGAGGGATGGACCCCGTGGTACGGACCCATATCTGGAGCAGTTCTGGAAGAGCTGCTGCCTGTGGGAAGCCCACGCCGGATCAGTTCATCAAGGACTGCATCCCGTGGGTGGGACCCCACAGCACATGGGACGAGAGTGACCGAGAAGGAGCGGCAGAGAAGAAGTGCTGTAGACTGACCATAACCCCCATTCCCCCGTTCCCCTGCGCCGCTCGGGGGGAGGAGGTGGAAGAGGGTGGATGGGGGGGAGGTGCTTTTGGTTTCTTTCCTTTGTTTCTCACTTCTCTAGCTTGTTAGTAATGAGCAATAAATTTTACTATCTGTCTTCTTATGCTGAGTCTGGTTTGCCCGTTACACTAATTATTGCGTGATTTTCTCGTCCTTATCTCAATCCTTGAGCCCCTTTCACATATTTTCTCCCCATTCCTCTTTGAGGAGGGGGAGTGAGAGAGCGGCTGTGGTGGAGCTCGGCTGCCCACTCGAGCGGAACCACGACACCCCAAAGGAAGGCTTTGGGTACAACTGAGCTCCCCAGGGGAGACTTTTTGCATCCCCTCATGCAACTGGATCCTCCGGGTTCGCTCATTCCCAACAACCCTAAACAGAGCCCTGGCGGCATTGGAGACGACTGAAAAATCGGGCCCCAGAAAACGCGTTACAAGCTCCTTTCACCCATTCAAACGTGCCCCCAGAGGAAGTCTTTGGGTACAACTGAACTCCCCAGGGGAGCCTTTTTGCAGTCCCACATGCAACTGGACCCTCATTGTTCGTTCTTTCACAGAAAGCCTAAAATAGCCCTAGCCGGAATGGGAGACAAGTGAAAAATCATGCCCCAGAAAACGCATTACAAGCCCCTTCTGCCCATCCAAAAGTGCTCCCAGAGGAAGGCTTTGGGTACAAGTGAACTCCCCATGGGAGCCTTTATGCAGCCCCACATGCAACTGGACCCTCCGTGTTCGCTCTTTCCGAGCAACCCGAAACCTATCCCTAGCTGACATGGGAGACGAGTGAAAAATCGTGTCCCAGAAAATGCGTTACAAGCCTATTTTGCCCATCCAAACGTGCTTCCAGAGGAAGGCTTTGGGTACAAGTGAACTCCCCAGGGGAGCCTTTATGCAGCCCCACATGCATCTGGACCCTCCGTGTTCGCTGTTTCCGAGCAAATCTAAAGATAGCCCTAGCCGGCATCGGAGACGACTGAAAAATCGGGCCCCAGAAAACGCGTTACAAGTCCCTTTTGCCCATCCAAAAGTGTTCCCAAAGGAAGGCTTTGGGTACAAGTGAACTCCCCAGGGGAGCATTTACGCAGCCCCACATACAGCTAGACCCTCCGTATTCGCTCTTTCATAGCAATCCTAAACATCGCCCTATCCGGCATGGGAGATGACTGAAAATTCGGGACCCAGAAAACGCGTTCCGAGCCCCTTTCACCCATCCAAAAGTGCCCCCAAAGGAAGACTTTGGGAACATCTGAACTCCCCAGGGGTGCCTTTATGCAGCCCCACATGCAACTGGACCCTCTGTGTTCGCTCTTTCCGAGCAATCTTAAACATAGAATCACAGAATTTCTAGGTTGGAAGAGACCTCAAGATCATCGAGTCCAACCTCTAACCTAACACTAACAGTCCCCACTAAACCATATCCCTAAGCTCTACATCTAAACGTCTTTTGAAGACTTCCAGGGATGGTGACTCCACCACCTCCCTGGGCAGCCCGTTCCAGTGCCTAACAACCCTTTCAGTAAAGAAATTCTTCCTAACATCTAACCTAAAGCTCCCCTGGCATAACTTTAGCCCATTCCCCCTCGTCCTGTCACCAGGCACATGGGAGAACAGGCCAACCCCCACCTCTCTACAGCCTCCTTTAATGTACTTATACAGAGCAATAAGGTCACCCCTGAGCCTCCTCTTCTCTAGGCTGAACAAGCCCAGCTCCTTCAGCCGCTCCTCATAGGACTTGCTCTCCAGGCCCCTCACCAGCTTCGTCGCCCTTCTTTGGACCCGCTCAAGCACCTCCATGTCCTTCTTGTAGCGAGGGGCCCAAAACTGAACACAGTACTCGAGGTGCGGCCTCACCAGAGCCGAGTACAGGGGGACGATCACCTCCCTAGCCCTGCTGGTCACACTGTTTCTGATACAAGCCAGGATGCCGTTGGCCTTCTTGGCCACCTGAG